TAACCAGCTCTCCTGGACCTCCCTTCCTTCTAGGGCCCTACCCCAGGAGAGTCCTCCAAGTAGGTCCCCCAAGAGGCCAAAGTTAGCTCTCCTCAAGTCCAGGGTTGAGATCCTACTCATTGCCCTGCTCCCTCCTCATAGGATCCTCAACTCCACCATCTCATGGTCACTGCAGCCAAGGCTGCCCCCAGCCCTCACATCTCTTTATTCTTCCAAGCAACTGTTGGGGCTGCAGCGTGGCCCTGCATGTTTGATGTACTTCCTTTCCTACCATTTTTCTGAGGTGAATAAGGCATCTCTCCACTCTATATGGGACTGCTGCTTTCGGACTCTAAACTCCTCACCAGTTGCCAAAATCTTAGGTACAGCCATGTTCAGATCAGAACAGAAGTCCCTCAGGGAATTTTCCTTTTCAGAAATCATTTCTTTAATTGAAAGTCCAGATTGGAATGTTAATGCTAATCTGTAAATGTTGAGGAATACTGAATGGTATCACTGCCATGCCTCGATCATATGATATAGACACCCAGTCACAGTTCAAATGCAGAAGAGCATCCCCATCCTTGCAAACCATGCCTCTGACAAGGATCTGGGCCCTATACAGGAAACACTGGCATTCTAGACATGAATCTCACACTGGTACTTTAGTTGAGAGGTGTGTGGGGAGGGAGGGAAATTATTTTGACTCTGCTGCAGCACTAAAGGGACCAATGTGAACAAGCCTGGGTTGTTCTGGGGTCTGTATTTGACAGTGGCTGTTGAAATCCCACAAGGAGAATAGAAAAGGGTTGGTGATCCCTCCTAGGGAGAGACTCAGAGGACATTCTGATCAGCCTGCTAAAGACAGGGGTGTGCGGTGAACATTTAGCTCTAGTCTTTGTGGGTAAAAGGGACAAGAGGAACTCCAGTGACACCCCCATGGGCAATGTGGCTCACCACATGGCTACTGCAGGAAGAAGAGCAGGTGGTTAATGACCCTCCTGGCCCTTCTCAAGCAGGGATGTTGGTTGATGCTAGCCAGGGCAGCAGGAGCTGAGGGAAGAGACAAGACACTGGAAGGAAGGGCAGAGGGCTCACTTTCCTGAGAGCCTAGCACATCAAAACTCTCTTGGGAGCAGGGGTCCTGCACAAATACCAGGAACTCTGCTCTGCACTTCCCAGGATCACAGGCAAAGTTTGCAAGCAGTCAGTGCTGGGGACAAGGAGACCACAGGGACATTGGCGCCACAGCCAAGAGCCTTCAGCTACTGCTGTGCAGGGCAAGGGCAAAGTGCTGAACCCTTGGAATCTGACCAAAAGTCAAAACTCCCTGCCGACACTGAGGGAAAAGGTAAGCAGTACAACAGAAGCCCAGAGGCGCTGTGCTGTCTCCATCCTTGGGGTTAAGACCCAATGGGATAAAGCCCTGAACATTCTGATCTGACCACATAGCTGACTCCACTTTGAGCAGGAGGATGGCCTACACACCTCCTGTGGTCCTTCCCAACATGAATGATGCTGTTATGTCTTTAGGGAGGGAAGGAGGCTTGAAAAGGAGGACATCTGAGCAGATTTTGCCCTGTGTTGCCCTAGTTACACATCTGTAGCAATCTAGCACTTGGGCTCCTCCTAAGGTGGGTAGCTTGCTGCCACAGGTGAAAAAAAAAGTTATGCAAAGCAGATGAGCTTCCCATGTGCAAAAAAATCAGCTGTGTTTCCTGTCTAATTTTAACCAATAAAAGCAGAAAATAGATCATGTTATATAGAGAAGATTATCATTTACGCATGAGGGAAACGAGTATAAAAGAGGACTAGCCTCCAGCCACATGGAGTTTGGACCAATACAAAAACCTCACCCATACAACAGCTCCTGGTGTGTCAGGATGCATGCAGACTTTGCCTGATTACACTGCTTACCAGGATCTACAGATAACGAAGCACAGGTGGGTGAGATCCAAGTATCAGATACACATGACAGTGGGCATGTCACAGAAGCACAGCAAAGTTGAGGCTGGAACAGTCCTCTGGAGAGCATCTCCTTGTTTCTGAAGTACAGTCTGTTTTTGTTGTACCGCTTGCAACACCTGGGACAGTGACTGACTTATCCTCCTTTAAGATCTACATAATTCCCTTAAAGATGCTTACAGTCAGGAACATTGGAGGAGCAGTGAGGTGAGAAGAGCAAGTCCTGTGGAGCCCTTTCCTGAAACTCATGTTTATCACAAGGGACTTCCATTTGTTCTTGTGTTAAAACAACCTTCTCTTCAGAAATCCACTACATTATTTGCACTGGGGATTCTGCAGTGAAATCGCATGAAGAATCTTCCTTTTTCTAATGAAGCTCTCAAATCATGTCCTGCATGCATGTCCTCCCCACTCTCTGACACTTACCTGAAGAATATTTGGAAAAGGCCTACTTTAAGGCAGTGCATGGCAAAGGAAAACAACAAACAGAAGTAAAGATAGGTAATTCAAGCTGAGAAAATCTGATTTTAATCATTGGATTAAAAGCAAAAAGGTAAACTATTGTCTGTCAAGTGAATGGTAAGTCTGAGTGACAATGCAGTTTCAGTGTGTATTAAAGAACCTGATAGAGCAATTCAGAGTGCTAATAAAGATTGATCTTCACAGTTCTTAAAATGATGAAGAGGTTCTAATAGGCAAATAATAGGACATAGTCTCTGTTCCAAGCTCTGTGATTATCAACATCCGCATTCAAATTCAAGGAAGACAATGAGGTGAGACATTAACTAAGCAAGGCCATCCTCATTTTTCTGTGAGCTGTTGGCAATCCTCTCTTCTCCAAAGTACATGCTACTTCCTTCTCTGCAGTATCAACCAGCACTTCAGAAGGTTTGTTTAGGCAGGTATTCACACTGCTAACTCATTTTGTAGCATATCCTATTTACAGTGCAGGAATGATTCTCGCAGGAAATGATTCTTTAACTTACTATAGTGGATGAAACAATTTATTGCACATAATCCTCCAGACATGTTTAATGTACTTTCTTCCAGTATAAAATCAATCCTCTTCATGATGATTTAATCTTGTTAGACTATATTTTAATTCAATTAATTTAAATATTGAATAACCTCCAAAGCTGTAATTCACCTCACTGCAAAATGATGTAGTGCTTGCGATGATTTACTGAATTATGTTTGGTTAGAAAAGTTATGTTACGTTATAAGCTATGTTATGTTATAAGTTGTGTTACATTATATGAGCTATTAAGCTTGCTATATGAGTTATTAAGCTTGTACTCATTTTGCCTGAAATTTTAACATGTGTTTGTGATGAAAATTCACACTTATATCCAATGTATAGAGAGCACATGCACACAAAAGATAAGAAAGCAAGTAAACCTCATCAGACTATTACCACAATTATATGTCCCTAAATATACAGGCTATGAAAATGTTCAGTGTTGGTTTAAAAAAAAAATGACTTAGGGTGATGTACTATTACATTGACTTGAAAATCATGGAGCTGACTTGATTAACGTGTTCTTTATTTTATGCTTTCCCCAATAATGCCCCTTACCAATTATTTACTATTCCTTATGGGAGCTGTAGCAAGGGACAAAACAAAAGGGTTGCCCATGAAGGTAGATCTGTTAGTGCCCTACAGGAGATTTCACCAGCTACTCTTCTTTAGGGCATAATCTCAGTGGCTCAGGATCTGGCCTTGCAGTAGTGATACCCGTGGAGAAGAAGGGATAGAGCTTCCCTTTCCTACCATCACCCTCAGTGATGGTGAAAGTGTACATAGGAATTTGGCTGTGGACATCGTAGAATGATAGCTGCCTGTTCAAGATGTCCAGGAATATCCCAATCTTTTGCGGTTTCTTCCTCACAGTCAGTCGTGTCCAAGGCTCAGTGCGGGCCCAATAGTCTCTCCCATCAGCTAGTGCTATGACCCAAAAGCCATTCTTAGGGCAGAGAGTCAATGTCCCTTTTCTACCCACTGCTTCAGAAGCTAGTCCCAATTCCCAGTTATTTTTCTTCCCCACATTCACTTCCCAATAGTGTTTCCCAGAAGTGAAGCCTTCAGTTGCCAAGACAAAGGTGTGGGAGTCAAACCTTGTGCTATTGGTGGCCACCTTTCTAACTGTCCCTGTATCCCTTACACTCTTCCCTTCGTTAAACACTTCCAGTCTAGGGTGAGCTGTGTCAGCGTCCAGGACAATGGTGTCTGTAAGGAAGTATAAATCCTCTTATAAACTTTTCCCTGCTATGTGAGAACCAATCAAGCAACTTGAATCAACCTCAAAAGGAAAAGATCCCAAAATGAAAAAAGAAATCAGCGTCCTTTTCCACAAATTCACCAAATTTCCTGCTCCCCCTATCACTGTCAAGATCCACCACCTGTCTGAATGAGCATATTATTGTTGTACTGTCTCCAACTTCCAAAGGGAATAAAGTTGAGGTTTGTACTTGAGGTTTGTCACCAATGTAGACATGCAAGTGTGCATGTGTGACCCTCTGGGACGCATCAAAATTAAAGTGCCTTAATCACTGCATAATCACTCTAGTGTGGCAGATTGACAAAAGAGGCAGAGAAGATGAAGCAAATGGGACCACTCATCTTCGGGATTTCTTTCAAATGCAAATTAAAAAAGAACATAACGCAGGATTCCCCTTCCCCACTGCCCTCCTTCCCAACAAGTTAAAATGCTCTCACCTCTACAACAACATTTTTCCAGGAAGTCTGCAAATGAAGACACATGGCAGTAAATTAGTGACACAGAATGGGATTAGCTCTGAAAAGTCTTCTCATATAGTTCACCTTGCAATATAGCTATTCACTTCCCTGGTTATGAATACAAAATATCAGGATGCATGCTCGTTCAGTCCCAAAACTCTTCATTCTTAGTCAGAGAATAAGGGCATCTAGAGAGGAAAATCTGTTTAATTTGGTGTTATTGGACTGTAGACCCAACATTTTTTTCTCCAGTCATTATGCCTTACAATTTACGATGTAGAGGATAGTAAATGGCACCACATAAGTATGTTAAACGATCAGATTCCCAAATAAATCCATATACTGTCAAGTCCTCCCTCTCAAAAAATCTAAGTTTGATTAATTTTGGTGTTTATGCAGTCTCTCTGCATTACTGGCAACATTAACATTTCTGGTGTTCTCTGAGACACTAAGCACCGCTGTGGCAGCCTGCCAGATTTAATGCAGGGAATGTCTGTAAGACCAACAGCCTGGACATCCCATGTAGGAAAAGGGGCATCTGGGGCAGGAAGGGATGAATCTACCTTCCAGTATGTTTTTTCTTCTTCTTCTTCTTCTTCTTCTTCTTCTTCTTCTTCTTCTTCCCCCTCCTCCTCATAAAACACTGGAAGTGAGAATCATATTTTACAGATTCTCTCGAGGACTTCATCTCATATCTGCATATGGGCCATTGACCCTCTGGCCACCTTTAAGTGTGATTTGTTTGAGGGAAACATGGGTATTCCAGATCAGAAGCTTCCAAATGAGACAGCGCATTTCCCCTGATGATGGCAGTGTCCCTCCACTTGCTCCTGAGTAACTCCCTATATTCCTCAAGTTCTAAATACCCAGGAAAATCAACTGTCTTCAGCATCTGCATCAGCTGCATCGTTCTCTGACCTTCATCCAGGAAGTTTAGAAAGAAGGATTGACCCAGAACACTGTCCAGGGCAGCTACTTTTTTCCACCAAACCATACACCAGCCTCCAGCCCTGCTCTCTTCTGCAGGCACTTGCAGCATCAGAAATGCTGGGCACACCTTCCCTGCCACTACAAAGAATCAGTTATTCTGCTGTGGTTCGAAAGTTATGACTATGATAGCCATTTTCTATCAGAGTCTTGATTAAATCATAGAAGATAACCTCCAAAATCCTTCCCACTAAAGTCAAATGATAATAGTCCAGGATTCCCTGACTGCAGAAGACTAGTTTGTTCTATGCTTCATTTGCACAGTGCAAATTGAATCAAGGATCAGATAAACTTACCAATTCTTTTCCTCATGTCTTCTGCAAGAGAATGAAAAACATTTCAGCATACAGAATAAAATAAATAACATTAAAATCGATTAAATTAAACTAAATTAAACAAAATTTAGTTTAGAGCGTCTGGTAAGGAAGAGGAAGGTGGATAGTTCTTTGAGCTACAGGGAGACTTCTGAAGAGCTAGGATTAAAAAAAGAAGGCAAAAGTGAACTGCCAGCTAGCATCTAGCAGAGTAAGAACAGAAGTGGAACCAGACAAGAATGTCAGGCAGCCTGAGAAAGAGCAGCTAGTGAGGAAAGAGAAGGAGTAGTTTGAAGAGCTGGTGTGGTCAGCAGGGCAGGCCAGCAGAGCACAATGCAGGGTCAGCGCCAACAAGTATAGGCAAAAATGCAAGTGATGATTGTGTTGAAGTATTTTGGATTCATTTGTTCACTATTTAAGGAAAGTTTTAAAAGCAGTACTTATGGGATAGAGATTCACTTACCTTTCTCCTTATCATCATTTTCTAAACGTAAAAGACAAAGCAAACAAAAAACACAGGTAAAGGTTCAACTTTTGTTTGTAATGCTTTAAAAGATGCCATGCATCACGAGAAGCATGAGCTCAGACAAAATGCACAGACACCAACACCCTCAGCCTTTGCACCCCTTTTGAAACAGAACTTTGTAGCTGCTAATAGGGAAAAAAAGATTACCATGGGTCTCATGGGACAGAACAAAATCATCTGGGGATGTTTAAGGGGGTCTGTGGGACTGAGTGCGCTGTTTGTATTTAAGCAGGGGCCTGCAAAAACATGGTTTTTGCAGTGGCATGCTGTGTCTTCAAAGAGTTAGTCTGTTTGTATTGGGAGTTCACATTCGGTCTTGCCACTGGCTGTGCTTGGGGAAGAGGAACAGCAGCAGCCTTGCGTCAAGGGGAAAGGAGCTGAGGTATCTCTTGGGTCCTGCCCTCCACCAGATATGGTGATCCATAACATCCGTTCTTAGCAGTAAGCCAGGAACAATAACTAGAAATCTATATCGTGGACTAGTTTTCTGATGCAAACTCGAGTGTCTGTGATTGCATCTGTTCCTGGAGCGGTGTGTATAATGGAAGAAATAAATAAATTATGCTAGGGAAACACTGGATTCCTCCTCCAACATAATTCTGAACTGCAAAGTGTTAAGAGCACGAAATAGTGACCATACATTTTGTTATTAGCACAGACACTGGACAGGGATAGACTTACCTGATACTACAGCCACATTTTCTGTAAAAGAGTGAAAAATATTTTTGCGAGTACACATCCTATTTCTGGGTTTTGAAATGTTGCTGGTAACACAATCTGCCCAACATGAACTTGCCTCCAACTCCTAGGGAACCCCCTCTCTTTCCATTTGGCCCAGATCCATCCCTTTCTCCTGTCTGTCATGGTCTGTCTTCCCCTCTTCTTCACCCCTGAAAAGATGCTAGAAATGATGATCCCTCCTAGCTGTAGATAAGCTGTGGTTGTTTACTGATGAGTCAATGCACCCTGCCTCATCAGAGATGGCCATCTTGATAAAACAGTGTTCCCAGATACTGCTGTCAGTAAAACACTAAACTGGGATTACCTCCCTAGCTTTATTTGTGAAAAGGATGGATATTGAGGCCAGCTAGCCCTATAACCTCCTCCTCCTGTCCTTGGAGAGAGGTATCTCCAGAGGCTGATTCAACAGGATTCCTCTTAATGACACAGAGGGAGCTTAGGCTGGAAAAATGCCCTTTAAATGATCAAAGAGAGGCACAACCCACCCTTCTTGTTCTCCTAACCAGTTCTCTCATGGAATAAAGATGTGTGCTTTAGTAAAACTCCATCAGCACTTATTGAGAACAGAAGCATGTGCCAAATCATTTTTAAAGTGCCTTTGCAATGCTATTGCTTTCATAAGGGATCCAGTAGGAAATGGAGGTGCTTGACAATATTAGTTGAAAGTGAAGACATGCACAATCTTGCAAACTGGCTTCCTGAGATCCTGGTTTAGCAGGATGCAACTTCCCCACCCTTAAGAATGGGAAAGTGAATAAGACGTATTTCTTAGCTCTTTACTAATTTGTGTGCGTAATGAACAGTGGAATAGAGTCATGACCCTTACCTTCATTCTTATTGATGAGTCTCCCTTAAAAGGAAATCAAAACAGAAGACAGAAGAGATTCCGGTTATTACTCCTACATTCATCAAGGCAACTCATAGCAACAAAACTTGAAAGCTGCCTATATGAGTTGATCACCCAAGAGCCCTATACAGTCCATGAAGAGACAAAGTCACTTCCAGGGACAGTTCCACATTCCCTCTGCCCCCTGCTTTCCAACTCTCTCATAAGAGAACAGAGGTGATGACAAATCACCTTCTCTGATGACAAATGGACTAGATTCACCTGCCCATTCATACCCAAGAGCCTTTTGGGTGTCGTAAGAGATTCCAGTTAGTCTCATAGATCTACACAGAAGGCAAGCAGGGTATCTCAGGACATCTGAAATGGCACTCACATACTTATATCTGTGCAAATGAGTCCTGAATATTGATGATAACAGGAGTTTAGACATCCTGACCATATATAGACACTGGTACTTGGATATCAACATTTAATTGTTGTAATCTTGAGGTAAACTGTGACTCTCAGTTAGGGTGTCTAGGTGTAGATGCATAAAACCTAGATATTTAAGCTCCCAGGAGAGTCAAAAAAGATCTAATGAACACAGCCAGCATAGTCTGCAGTGCTGTTTGGGTGACCAATTACAAATATCTCCTCTAAGATGAGCAGAATTACTCTGAATTTTTCACTGACTGTGTTGACCAGGGCCGGATTCACTTGTCCAAGCTGTGGAGCGTGCTGCCACTGAGATGTACTAGGGTATTGGAGACATCCTCCAAGATGGCAGATATGACACATAACCTACTGTCTTCTGAAGACAGTAGATCTGGAGGCTAGGAAGGATATACCACTATGTCTGCAGTGAAACTAGATGCCAGATCCACTGAATTTGTCCCTAGATCCCCATTAATTAAATGGAGATCTGGCCATTTCAGTCTGAAATTAGGGCAAACTGAATCCCACTGCAGCTTTTTTAATGAGGACTTGAAACCCTCCCACACCAACCCTGTGTAGATGCCGTGATCAGGGATGACGCATCCAAGATCTGGAAGGGAGACTGTGCTGCTTATTCCTCTTCATCCGCTTTCCCAATTCCAGACCACACACTCACCATAGATAATTTAAACAATATGAAAAAAGTATCAGTTTAAATCTTACCTCTATAGGATGAGTCTCAGGTACATGCAATGCTTGCAAAATCTCTCATATACTGTTTAACTCATTATTTATAGCAGCTGTGATATTATAGTTTCACCTCTCACTTTGAACACTTGCACTGAACACACATTCGGACACCAAAAAAAGTGTTAATAAAGACACGTACAATTGTCATGCTTTACTTTGCTCTAGCCCACGCTTTACCTCTTTCAGGATCTTTTGAGTGGCGTCCTGTAAAAGACCAGAGATAATATGAAATTACACAATGGAGGTGAAAGCAGCTTAACAATAATTCCTTCCAAGCTGAACCTGATTTCATTGACAAAGCCAGAAGCGTTATTAATGTAATGTAATGTAATGTTGTTAGGGACGTCCCTGGGCCCTGGTACTCTGCACATGATCTGATGAGACAGATGGTCTCTCCAGGCTGAGGTTTTAATGTCAAGCTTATTCTTGCCCCTTGTGCAGAAGGAAGGGGGTGAGAATTGGAACCAGAGCTACTTTTCATGTCTTGGCCCAGGCAGATGACCTGTGCCCAAATGCCACAAGGAAAGGATGGGGAGAGTGAACCTTGGCTCCAACGCGGTATCGTCTGCAATTTTTCATTATTCACCTGTCAAGATGTGAACCAGTTGCTCCTGGCTAACCCACCCACCTCTCCTGGAAGTCAAGCCAATAGAGGTGCAATGAAGGCAGTGGAGTTTAGCTTTATGCTGTAAGTACATACACAGCCTGCTAATGTGGGAGAAAATGTTCATACCTGCACAGTAGCAAAAGAGGAACACAATGGCAAGGAGGCTGAGAATGGAGACCATAACAACAAGAACTATCAGGATAATATGGTCATCTTGGATCCATCTGGATACATCAGGGTTCTCTGGGAAAAAAGACAAGAGATGGTCTGAAATCTTTGAAAGTACATATTGCCAAGACTCATGCACTCAACAAACAATTTTTTTATTCGATAAATGGCATCCATTTTGTGTTTCCCAAAATCTGAAATAAACCCCATGCAAACAATCCCAGTGTGACTGCAAGCAGCTACAGTAGGGTGAATGAGAGCAGCCTAGTGAGCTGTCGGAGCTTTGCATGTGGTGCTCATGCATTGGAGGAAGTGGTAGAGTAAGAGAACTTGCAGGCCATAGAGTGGGGATGTGGCTGGGAAGCAGAAAGAAGAGGGTGAAGAGAGGGAAGAAGAGAGAAGCAGTACCAAGTTCAAAGTCCCAAGGGAGGGCTGGAGAGAGCAGCTTTTGTGGATGGGGAGAAGGATCCTTCTGAGTTCTCCTGGGCTAGAGCCCAGGGCATCAAGCCCAGAGCAAGCAAGCATCAAGTTAAAACAGTTAAATGTAGGAGCCTAAATGCAAGTGCTCAGATGTGTTCTTGAAGCAGGATCCAGTACAAGACCCACTGGAAACCCACATCCTTCTGTAGTGCAGTACTTGACAGGACCTCAAGTGACATTAGATGCTTCACTTTACGCGATCAAAGTCAGCATGTCAGTACTGTCTCCCACTGCAGACCATGGAGGATGACTGCAGGCAAGAATAAGAGCAAAGTAAGCAAGTGATGGATGTTGTGAGTGCTCTGAGAAGGTACAAAGATGAGATACTTACCTGCACAGGAGATCTGGAATAGAAGCTTGACACAGAAGAAACACAACAACCCAAGACTGTTCATCTGCCCCACTGTTTCTGGTAATGCTCTTGATAAATCTGATCTGAAAGGTAAATTGGAGTAAACATGAGCAGTTACATACACGGCCATAGAGTCACTGATTTTTGTGGCATTGCTACACTAAGCCCTGGGCGCTCCATTTCCTTTGTAATTTTATCTTCCAGAAATATATGAACAGCAAATTGCAGGATCTTCCTTGCTGATGTGATAGGTCTCATTTATAACTGAGCTAGTTGTCTCCATTGCTTTTGTAGTCAATGGAAAGAAGCAGACACTTCTAAGCAGAAGGAAGGAAACACATCACATCCCAAAGAAATGTATGGTGGGGTATGGTGGGGTAGTTGGACTGGATCTTTTTTTCTATTGACAATAACTGAGTTGGGGTGAGAAGCTCTCCCCTACAGTCACTCTGCCTGGAGTCAGCTTGCAGAAGAATAGACCAAAATTTATTGGGCTACATGGACTTGGAGTCTCAATTCCTGTTGTAGGCAGCGGAGGCTAGGATACAGATGTCATATTATTGTCATTTGAGATGACCAGGACTCCAACTGCCATTCCAGAAGGGTATTGAGTTTTTCATGGGTCCTATGTCACAGACATGCAGGGATGGAATCAGGAAGGCCAAAGCTCAGCTGAAGTTGAAAATAGTGAGGGATGTGAAGAGCAACAAGACAGACTTCTGTAAGTGCACTGACTGCAAAAAAGAAAGCAAAGGGAAATGTGGGCTCAGTGCTCAGTGGAGTTGGGACCTAGTGACAAAGGATATGAAAAAGCTGAGATACTTAGCACTTTTTTTCCTCTTGGTTTTCACTAGTACAGTGTGCCTTCTGGCCTCTCTGATTGCCAGACTAACTAGCAGACTCTGCAGGAGTGAAGCGCAATCCACCATAGAGGAAGATACAATTAGACACACAAGTTCATGGAGCCAGACAGGATGTATAGGAGGGTGCTGAGAGACCTGACCAAAGCCACAGTGAGACTGCTTTCTATTGTCATGACAATCAGGGGAGGTTCCTGAGGACTGAAAGAAGGCAAATGTCACACCAGTCTTTGGGAAGGCCAAGAAGGGGGACCCAGGGACCTAAAACCCATTCAGCCTCACCTCAGTCCCTGGGAAGATGAAAGAGTAAATACTCCTCAAAGCTACATCCAGGCACATGAAGAACAAGTGTGTGTATGGGGTGGGGGAAACAGTCAGCATGGATTTACCAAGGGCAAATCATACCTAAAAATTTGGATTGCCTTTTTTTTTGCTCTATAGATAAGGAAAGAATAGCAGATGCTGCATGTCTTGACTTAAGCAAGGCCTTAGACATGGTCTCCAAAAATATCTTTGTAGCCAGACTGGTGACTTATGGCGTGGATAAGTGGAGGATAGATGCTGGACCATCGGGCTCAAGGGGTTGTGATCAGTGATACAAAGTACAGACAGATGCTGAATACCAGTGGTACCTGTCAGGGATTCATACTGGGCCAAAACTGTTTAAAGCCTTTCTTAATGACCTGGATGATGGGATAAAGTACACTGTTTGCAGTTTTTCAGATAATGACAAAGTTGGGGTAGTGGTTGATATGTAGGAAAGAAGTCTGCTTTTCAGAAGGACCTAGACAGTCTGGAGAAATGGATTGAGAGGAACCTTATGAAGCTCAACAGAGGCAAATTCTAAGTTGTGACCCTGGCACAGAACAAACCCATGCAATAGAATGGGCTGGGGACCAACCAGCTAGAAAGCAGCCCCGCAGAAAAGGAGCTGTGGTTCTTGGTGGTCCACAAGTTGAACAGGAATAAGCATTGTGCCATTGCAGCAACGAAAGCCAACTGCATCTGGGCTGCACTGCAAGAGTGTAGCCAGCATGTAGAAGGAAGGTATTCTCCTCAAATCATATCTGGCTGAATAGATTCTTCCCCTCTAATCCACATCCGGATAGTGTGCGCTTCTTAGGTTCAAGACAGACATTAACATACTGAAGCAAGTCCAGCAGGGCCATTAAGATGGTTATAGGTGCCTGGAGCACATCATGTGTGAGGAGAGGCTGAGAGACCTGGCTTTGCTTGGAGAAAGCAAAGGGGAGCTTTTACTGCTGCTTACAGCTTATTAATGGGAGCTGTAGAGAGGATGGAGCCAGACTCATTTTGGAGGTGCACAGGAAAAGGATGAGAGGCAATGAGAACAGATTGCCAACATTTCTTCTTGTCCGTAAGAGAGCAAAACCCTTGATCAGGGACCACAGAGGTGGAAGAATCACCATCCTTGGAGACATTCAAAACTCAACTGGACTAGGCCATGAGCAACCTGCTCTAACTATACCTGCTTTGAGCAGGAGGTTGGACTAGAGATTGGTGTCTTCCAACTTTATGAAGTTCTGTGACTGTATGACACTATATGTCAGCCCCAGGTTGTGTCTCAAATTCTGCTTAGGCTCCTGAATCACATCTGAAGCGACCTCGTCTGCATGAAGATGTTAAGACCCAATAGAACGAAAGCAGTTCCTGTGCCCAAGGTAGTCTTCATACAAGTTGATGATGACACCACCAGACTCTCTGTTCAGACTCCTGCAATAAGAATGGTAGCTGGCTGACAAAAGCAGCCAAAATCCCTCTGGGACTGGCAGCTGGAAGCCAAGTGGGAGATGACATGGCATAAGACATCTCACCAATCACCTCTGATTTTGATCACGGTAAATGAGGTTAATTTTGGTGCACTTAATCCTTCCCTTCATTATAACTGATCATGGCGATGCTGAGAGTATAAGGGAGGCTTTCAGCAGACATTTTGGTGTCCAGAGGGTGACATGTAAAACCTATTTGATTTTCCATGGGAATTTTACTGATTGACTCTGTTCTGACAGAAGCACCCATGCATGTTAACAGAAATAAAACTGATGTTTTTGGTCACCTGTGACAAGATGAAATAATTAACAGAGCCAGTTTGCCTTGTGATAGTTTGCTAGTTTGCTTTGTGCCCTTCTACTGTGCAAATTTTTCTTCCTCATGTTTGCTCTGCCAGGAGGGTGAGGTTTATGTTATGCTTCTGTCCTGTTCTTCCTAAAGCAGCAGTCAGCTATACTACATTTTTACCATGTCCATATTGAAAATACTTCTCTTTAGGAGCATGCAACCCATTAATTTGAACTGGCCTGTTTATCACCTCTAGCTGCTTCTGAAGTTGAAACATTGATCTCTGCATACGCTAGGTTTGATTTTAATCCAGTCAGTCTTACTGGTCTGGTATTAAGGCAATAGATCTGTATCAGAACTGAATTACATAGCTCTAAATCAAAGTTTTGCACAGTAAAAAAAATGAAAGAATGGTGGGATCAGTGAACTTTCATGTGGTGGATTTTGAAATGAGCATGTTGCCATGTTGTTTCTCCTTTGAGGTATAAGAATTGAATTAAATCTATGTTAAGTTACATAAAAAATAGCATTCCAATAGTATTTAAAGATGATATAATTCAGGTGACTTCGAATGGACTGTTAAATAAGGAGAAAACATAGAAAACTACTGAACTGCCAATTGCTATGTTCAGTCATAGCAGAGTCTTGTTTACCAACACTGAGATGTCACACAAAGTACTCTGAGAAGGAGAAACTACAGTAAACCAAATTTTCTGGTTATTTTCACTTCATGTCTTTGGGTTTTTTAACCATTAGTAAAGTTGTTAATATGATCATCATCAGTAACATGGTTCATCTTTCCTAACTTTGCAATCCTACACTAGGTACACCGGTCAACTAGATTCCTTTTATAAGCACTCCTGGGGTGTGGTGCATCTCATGGTAAAGCAGACATGGAGATGACCAAACATGGGCTCCCTTTGAGACTGTCACAGACACAAGGCTGTTAAATATGACACAGAACTTGCAAGAGATCTTTCACTTTCTGGAGTGACAGCTGAAGGCCTCAGAAAGTATCCCATTGTGTCCAAAATTGCACTAGATGACTCTCCTCGGGCAAAGGAATTTGGTGCCAGGACTCCAGCCCCAGACCAAGCAGGATAACCCAATCCATCTAAAATATCACTAGCCTGCAGAATTGTAGCAGTGCAGTAGCAGTGACTCAGCATATTCCCACTTCTCTTCTTGCCCGGCAAAGGGAGCCTAGGGATCATTTTGAGCGTAAACTCATGTACCGCAGACGTAGACATTCAGACAGATGAATCTCTAAACCGAACAGAAGCATTTAAAAATTGTGATTGCAACCCATGGGAGCTAAAGAACAGAAACATTCATAATATCAAGTCACAGGTAAGAGGGAAATCAGAAAGACTGAAATGAATTTTGAAGAATTTACCTGTACAGAAGCTGGTGAGCTCACGCATTCACCTGGAATTCATTTTCCTGCTTTCTTCTAAACTCACCAGTCACCGCCCAGTTAAATGTCAGTACACACCGGAAAAAAAGTTATGAGTCACGTGTTAGAAACAGCTTGAACGCGGATCAGCTCAGCCAAGGGAGGTAATTCTTTTACACAGCTATGACAGTATCTAAATGAAAGGCACATTCTCTCCTTGAATAGTGCCTGCAGTTCTGAGCCAACCACCTCAAATACGGGCCTGGTCCAGATTCAATGGAACTTCTGTATGCAGATTAACTGTTTTAAGAGATCTATCAGAAAAGAGATGATGAAGGGGCACATAATACAGGTTTCTGAAATGCTGACTACCAGAGGTAAAGAAGCATTCATTAACTATGTCTTGCAATACAAAGAACAGGAGGGAGTTGAATGATAAAAAAATTCCAACTATCATATAGTAAAAATGCATATAAGACAGAATACCGCATTAGATAACAGGTTTATTCAATTCATTGTATCTTATTTTGTAATAGTTTTCAGCGCAACAGGAGAACTCTGCATTATTATCCTTTCTTGCGTTAATGAAGCTGTTCTCTCGAACCTCTCCTTTTTTTCACACTGCCACATCGGGTATCATGCATGGATCAAAACATGAATACCTTCTTTTTCCATCCTTTCTTTCTTTACTCCTTGATAGAAGAAATTCAGTTTTATTTCTAGGGCACCTAGAAATACTTCTGGTACTGTATTTCAAGGAAGGAAAAGCTTTGAGGAATGGTAGCTGGGCACGTCCAAGGATGATCTAGTAGCCCACCTCACCCTGAGAGTGAGCTCATTCCTCCAGTCTTGGTCTCAGACCAACAACTTTAACACCTTTCTAGACTGTATCATACACTAAAATGTATGGATCCTTAAGGAAAAAAAAAAAAAGAAAAGAATATTTCTTTCTATTGCCTCTGTCAACTCTGATTCTTCCTGGACCTTTCTGTGTTTAGCAGTCTCCCTGTCTAAACTGCAGGGCTCCTGTGAATGGCCTTCCCTACCTGCCCTCAAACTAGATGCTTTTCTTGGTTCCCCATGCTCAAGAGTTCAAGGGAAAGTGTAATCTACTACACCTTCCAAAGAGTTCAGCTAGACAACACAGCTTAGGACAAGGCAAAGAGACGATATACAGAAGTTACGCAGCAATATGCAAACATTTATCTATATACTGCTACCAGCTGGCACACATTATATTGATTGCAATGTCTATATTGAACAAACACTTTGAATAGGGTAATAATGATAGCTCTCAGTCGTGTTTTTTATGGATTATGCTGACTGAAAACTTTAAGTTCTTCACTGTACATTCATGGGAAACGCACATCTTCTCCACTGCTTTAGCATCTGTTACATAGTACAAACACAAGAACAGTCCAAGGTATTTCATTGCAGCTTGCGCTATGTGGTTCCATGTCCTTATCTACCTCTCATTAGTTATGTCTCAAGCAACTACATTAGCACTTAATCACAACATTACAGAAGACCTTCTTGTGTTACTAATCCACAGGAACCCTTAACCACTCTCCCAGAGTTTTTCCCTAAGTATCTCATCTTTCTCTAGGTCTGCATTCTGGATGCAATTCTTTGCAGTTTTTTTGAACGCTCCCAACTTCAATGGCAGTCACAAGACTCTGTGGGACAATTTGCTGCACCTCAAAGTTACATCTTTACCTCTCTGTGGCAGCTGTATTTTTATGAGCATCACATGGAGACCTACTTCCAGATCACAAACCATGAGGTCAAATATCTTCAGGCTTCCTATCAAGACCTGCTTGTGGTCTGTGGACTCACTGTGGACCCTGTGAGCCCCATGTTTTCACACCTGCCAGTTAGAAACTTTTAATTCATGACAGATGTACTTTTTTTGCCATTGTGCAGCACTGGGTTTTCCAACAGCATGTCTCACAGTGTCAAGCCACAGACACCGAGGCATGAGCTCTGTCTTCTTGATCACACTCAGCCAACAAAGAGATGATGTTTTCCAAAGGGAACATAACTCCTCTTTAATGATAGTTTCTCTAAACAGGGGCTGTCCAAGGCTGACCATGTGCTTGTTATTCCCAGCGTAACTTTTAAAAAAAAGCATTGGTCTTACAGTGAGCAACATGTGATCTTCAGGCAGAGCTACGCCCAAAGTTAATCTTTAATGTATTATTCTTTGTTTCAATTCCACTGTCCAGAGTTCAACCCCTTTGCTCCATATAGTTAAGATGTGAGGATATTCCCTTCCCAACAACAGGTAAAATCTAGTTTTAACTCTAGAATAAGATTTGCTTCTGCTGTTAAGGAATGGACATTCAGCAGGTCATGCTGTTGTTTTAAACCTCTCAGATGACCATCCAAGGACCTAATTGCAACTCCTCCACAACACTCCTTCATAATGCATCATGCATATAGAAGGCAAGATACGAGCTTCAGGCAGAGAAGGGACTTTCAGGCAGAGAAAAGCAGAATTTAAACTTCAGGACCTGATTCTTGCTTTCATTTTTCTTCTCTGTAGTTACGTACTTCTCTTCTGAAGGTATGGGATGTATAACGCTTTGCCCTCCTGCATGATTGAAATCCTAAGTTTAATTTCTCCGCCACAGAGGAAAAACAGCTATCTCATAGCATTATTCACCTTCCTTCACCAAAGCAGGTAAGAACCACTCTTTCAATTCTTTCCACACAAGCAGGAGACCCAGTTCCGCTGTAGGGGTGGAAGGGAACTACTCCATTTCTTTCATCCAAGCTCTGCCCACAGGTTCCCACATCTCTTCAGGTGTAGTCAGCAAAGAACGGTGGGCATCACTAACTTGTCTCTTCCTGGTAGGCTCACGGCGGAAAATAAATGGGACAGAAAGGATGGTCCTATGGGGAGAACTGGACAAACTGGGTTAGGTCTTTTTTTTCACCAAGTATTTCTGCTATCTTCACTCTATGGAGCTGGCTATACTCTCTCAGCATTGCTTGGAAAAGTAGGCTGCAGACCAGAAGACAAGTGCTGTATTCACTCTCTGCATGGGACTGTTGTGTCCAGAAAACCTCCAGGGTCATTGTCCCAGGCATAAAATAAGGCTGATGAAGTATATCTGCTAGTAACACTGCTTGAAACTGTCTCCTATTGAACATTGCCCAAATGAAGCTATCGTGATGTAAACTCAGGACTGGATGATAATAATCCTTTCACCCGATAGGTTAGCTGTATCCACAGAAATGTGAATGGAATTAAAATTTCCTAATTAGTACTTTGAATAATTGAGGTTTTTACCTTAGATGCAGCAAACATCAGGTCTTCATGAAATGCTCTCAGTTTACCTGTTATCTCATTCATATTAAAATTTAGCACACTCAACGATCTTTGTGGATTTCATGCATGTTGCAATGTCACTGTTAACTCAACTCCATTGTCTACCTTTTTGTTATAATAATGATGATTCATCTTAGTTGAAATATGTCACAGCATGTTTGTTTAGCAGTGCATATAGCGCCACGGGAATAAGAGAAGCAATGGCTTTTTTTGTAATGGCATCTCTTCACCCCTTTTTTCTTTGAAAAGCATGGCCTTTGTCTCTTTCAGATCAATTACTAACCAATTTTCATTAAACACTGTTTTTAACCTGCCTATTTAATTCTTTGGGAATATGTTTATGATCTCTGAAGTGCTAATTCCATAAATGATATGGCTTGGTGGCTAGTGGGGTTTCTGTTAGTCCCTCCTTGGATTATGAGAAATTTTAAAAGAAATAGACATAACAAAAACATCTCATTCGGCAGCAGAAATATCAGTGTTACTAAACAAAGTGTCTGAGGTGGATCCATGTTCTGGGTGAAACTCATCTGTCCCGATGTGGACACATGTTGTGCTTCTGTACATGTCTGACCTTACTCTCTACACTTTAATTTGCATTTTCCGCACAACTGCATCAGCACAATTCATCTCAGCCTTGGGTAGAAATTGAAAATAGGGTGGGTGGATGGAACTTCACTAAACTTAAAACAGGCCTAAGAGACTCATTCTGCAGAGACCACAGCTAGGAGGAAGGATTAATTTGTCTAAACACAGATATCTTGAGACATTTTTGGCATTTCTAAGCCTCTAGCTGCTGATCCAGATGGGAGTTTGCAATTAAATTTGCAGTTAAACTGAGAATTTGCAGTTAAAAACGGATGAGCTGAACCCTTCTGCAGGTACTTCACGTGTGCTTACCCAGCTGGTTAACAGGGCAGCTGCCTTTCCCAGTGCAAGAATTAATGAAGTGTGAGATAGACTGACCTCTTGGCTCATGGCATGTATGTGCCTGTTCTGGCAGCATCCATTTTAGTCACATCAGCTGTAGATGTGAGCCCTGGGATGCAGGGATGTATTCAGACACTGCAGTGCAGTGTGATTAATACCTCCAGAGAAGTCATCAGAATGCCCTATCTTCCTTGCTGCTTGCTAAATAGAGAATATTGAACACTAACAAAGTAATAAAGATACTGCACTGAAAGTGCTGCTATGGGAACTGAGATAGGGACAACCAGCAACATAGTGGAGATGTCAAAGTCTGCGAACAACAAAGAGCGCCAAAAACAGAGAGAGGCATGTTCTTTCTCCAGACTTTCTTTCTGGTCTCCAGGGTCGGGAATTCCTGAGGACTGGCCTTAGCAGTGAAGACTGAAGCAAAGAAGGCATTCAGCAACTCTGCCTTCTCTGTATCCTTCATCACCAGGGCACCCGCCCCATTCAGCAGTGGGCCCACATTTTCCCTAGTCTTCCTTCTGCTCCTGATGGATTTGAAGAAGCCCTTCTTGTTGTCCTTGACATCCCTTGCCAGATTTAACTCCAAAAGGGCCTTAGCCTTCCTTGCTGCAGAATCCCTGCACACTCTGACAATGTCCCTATAGTCCTCCCAAGTGGTCTTTTCCACATTCTGTACACTTCCTTCTTGTGTTGGAGTTTGGCCAGGAGTTCCTTGCTCATCCAGGCAGGTCTCCTGCCCACTTTGCTCGTCTTCTTACTCAGAAGGATGCACGTGTCTTGAGCCTGGAGGAGGTGATTGATACTTGAATATTAACCAGCTCTCCTGGACCTCCCTTCCTTCTAGGGCCCTACCCCAGGAGAGTCCTCCAAGTAGGTCCCCCAAGAGGCCAAAGTTAGCTCTCCTCAAGTCCAGGGTTGCGATCCTACTCATTGCCCTGCTCCCTCCTCGTAGGACCCTGAACTCCGCACTACTGACCAGGAGAGATGCCCAGCTCACATTTAGGGGTCTAATTTAGAAATGTGTGTGAGGCATCCCACAACCCCACACTGCAGATGTTTTGGTGCAGTCACTATGAGGTGTCGATCTATGGGGAGGTGCCAGGGAAAAAGCAGAGCATACTTTGCTGTGCCACTCTCTGCTAGCTAATTCCTTAAATGTGGACCAGGGACCTATTAACTCTGCAGAGGCAAGACTAAAAATGCGGTGTGAAGCCACATATTTTCTCCCTGGCTCCTCTAAGCACACAGAGGGGAGCTGAGAGGCATGGCCATTCCTAAATATAGCGGGCGGGGCAGGGGTGGTGGTGGGTTGATTTAGTTTGATTTTTTGAGCCAGAGAAAAGTCAGCATATATGCTAGATATGATCTGGGTGAGATCCCAGAAAGAATGTTTGAATGCCTGCGTCACATGCTGATAGACATTGGCAAGAAATTGGATCAAACTCTAGATTAAATAGAGCTGTGAATCTAAGACAGATCTATTTTTATGGAAACACTCTCCTCCCACTAACAAACTCTTTTGCCTTTAAGCTACCAGCAAAATATCCCTCGAAATATTGGGTCCCCAAGGGCAAGGGGTCAAGCTGGCCTGCAGATCACATGGATGGTTCCCCAAACCTGTTGTCCAGTGGGTTACTCAGAATGAACAGAGCCTTTCTTCTGACACTGCAGTACACCAGGACAGCAAGCAACTCTTCAGTGTGCTGAGTCGAGTCACAGCTACAGGAAAGGAAATGGGAGAAGTCACCCGCCAAATCCTCAACACCTTGGTGCAGACAAAGGAGGAAACTACCATTCACCTCTCAAGTGAGTCATTTATGCCTTGCAGTCATCCTGAGAAGTCTTTGCTGTGGCCAGATTCATTGTCCTAGAAGCCCTCTAAGGCCCTAAGTGACAGGGAAGATAACAGTTCTCCAGTCCGGCTAGAGGCATCCCAACCACCATTTGTAACTGTTAGCAGAATGAGTTGCAGTGAAAAGTGAGAAGGAGCTTTCTTCTCCTACCTTTGTAATCCAGAGGATAACTATCTGCTGATTCTGGGACAGAATTCACTTCTCCATCTTCCTCCCCCCAAAAGCTGCATCTGTAATTCCTGGAGGCAGACAGAAACCATCCTGGAGTGATTCTTCCCACCAGTGTCAGACACCTCTCTTACCCAGGGACAATCCTCCCGTGGAGTTGTCTGAGCCTGCACCTTATCCCTGAATTCTTTGTGCAAAACAAAGACCTCATTTCTAGATTTATACTGCTTTCTTTCTGGAGTACAAGGCATGATATTTTCCATGTGTGCACATCCCAAATGGGACTGGATCCTACTGTCCATCATTTTACCCATTTTCTATGAGGCAGAGAAGAGGGGGTTGTAGGGATCAGACCCAGGCTTTTTGACAGCAGGGATTCAGGGCTAAATGACACAAGGAGCAATAACTGACAAACTCTTTCCTGTGGTCCTTTTCATCTCCCATGCCTACATCCCTCTGTGCTGCCATAGGAAAGATTGCATATTGCCAAGTAACGCTCAGATATTTTCTTTTCCAAGGCGCTGTTTTTCCACAAACATCTCCCTGGTTCTCTGCCTTCTGGATATTATTTACCTTATTTCTCCTCTCCATTGCTGCCAGTGCTTTTATGGTCTGTAAAGGTAAGGAGGCTTTGTTATCTGCCTCAGAAAAACCTACCCTTGAAGGAAAAAGATTCACTGAACTGTGGGGGTGGACGCATCCACACCTAGTGGGAAGATCAGCTGGCGGTGTGGTGACATCACCAAGGTTGTAAAATTTGGCCCCTGTCTCAGATATCCAAAGCCTGAACATGTCATCCTAGAGATTTCAGATCAGCCAGGGTTCAAAGTGGGAAAAGGAGATTGCTGGCATAAAATGGCAAATTTTAAATGAAAGTGAGATCTCTCCCTCTAAAAAGATGTATCCAATATTCCTTACTCTTTACACCTCTCAGTAACTAAAACTGAATCTTTAAATAATGATCAATGATTTTACAGGACCAATGATAGCGTGGTGATACGTGGACAAAGAGTTCATCCTGTTCATACAATGCAGCATTGGTCTGTTCAATACCAGTTCTTCCTTTCTTCTTCCCTACCCCCAGCATGTGATGATCATATGCTCTTTTCAGCTACCCAAGTTTCTAAAACATGCCCTAACAGATTCCCGATGTTTTTTGCCGCATAATCCAAATATGTTCATCAGTATCTCCTTCCTGGTACTTCCAGAGTGCTTCAGTACTCACTTCATTTTATTATTTGAATATTACAGCAAAACAGAAGATGTCTAAGAAAAAAGCTGCAGAAGAAGAGTATTTAAACATCCAAGGTAAGGCAGGTCTTTCTGCAAAGAGCTGGCTTTGATGCCCACTCACAGGCCCCTTTCCTCCTGCAGCTGGAGAGAGGCTTCCTTGCACTTGCAGAGGAAATCCAGGCTACTCATCCTCTGAGCTCAGCTGGAGAGTTTATAAAGATGTGAAAAAAGACTCACTCCTAAGAAGCCATTTGGCTCACTAACCTGCAGCAAAGGAAGCAGTGCCAGTTCCTTCCACTGGAGATGTCCCTACAAAGTGGCTTCCCTTCCTTTCTCCCCAGGATATGCCTTGAGTCTGTGCATCCCAACAACTCCCCTCAGCAATGGGTCTGCTGTGCACGCTCTTTCTCTCCCAGATCCCCTCTGCTCTCATTCATTCCTATATTACATTTAGCAGGAGCCTGACCCCCTGCAAATACACGGAGGGAACCTGCAACTTCCCTCATTACTGTGTGACTCAAGAGACAATATAGAAGTCAGGTGAGAGCTCACAAATCCATTAGCAGTCTATCTATGACTCCACACCATACAGAAGGACAGAGCTCTCCAAGGCCAATCTCAGGCAATGCCAGAACCAGCTACATCCCATCGGTTTCAGTCACCTGCATGCATCTGGGAGGTGTGCTGTGGGTGGCAAGCCATTACTCTGTGGCTAATTCTTGTGTTGTTTCCCTTGCTGTACAGGATCAGAGAAGAACATTTTGCACTCAGGTACAGTAATATGAAACTTCCCATGGTTGGAAAGACCGGGCTGGGTTTTCCCATTGAGGTACGGGAACAGAAGAACATAGATGCTGAGGGGAGTGGCACCACTCATGCAGCCATCACCAAGTAATCCTCTCACCCCAGACATTTACTCTTCCTCACTGTTCCGGTCCTGCTCCCCTGATCCAAGCCACTCTTTTCTTTCTCTTTCATTGTCAAAGTTGGGTCACTCAATGGAAATTGGGTATAAGGTGGCTGGGGATTTTTGCCATAGCTTTGACAGCATTATGTGACCAAAATCTTCTCCTCTCCATCAGCCATCAACAGCACTCATATTGCATGAATGTAGAGGGCACAGGGTAATCTGGCTCACCCAGGGCACCACCCACAGCAAAGAAAACGTGCCCACATTGCCTTTATGCCCCAACATATTGCCACATAGATCTGAGGCAGAGAGGTCTGAAATTCCTTCTTCAAGTTCTCAACATGAAAAGCAGATGTGTTTTTCTCCTCTTTCTGTTGCAGACATTCTGAGGCTGCAGGAACAATGTGGTAAGTCACCGTTTGTGGTAGAAAAGGAAAGGGTGCTGCCATTGCTGGAGCCAGGGTGAAAAAAAAAAAACACACAACCCTCTCTTGTTTGCTTCTGAGCGTGCCTATGAACAGAGTTTGGCAGTATTTGTCAAGCTACAAGTCTGAGATGCCTTGCTGTGCAGAGACAAAGCTGGCGAATCCTGAGCAGTGTCTGCGATCCTCTTCTCATGGCAAATCAAAGAGAACTCCACTTGCTGAGCAAACAGCAGCCTGTAACACTCAGTGTTTCTGTTTCAGGTGCACTGAGAAGAGAACTAGGTAAGTCAAGGCATCTTCCATTCCTCTGCTGCTTCAAAAGTCAGTCTTGTTCTGACTGGGAGCACCATGACCTCTTGATGACACAGTCTTAGCAAAGCATAGTCCGGAAATGAACTTCTGCCCCATCTCCCTGGGGAGCTTGAGTGAGTCGTGCTGGAGGAGAGACCAGTGACTCAAGATGGGAAGGAACCCCATCCCCTGCAGACTCCAGCTGCTAATTACACAGAAGAACAAAAAATCCTTTGGGGGCATATAATGCACTTCCTGAAGGTGAGACTACTTCATATTCCCATGTGGAGAGGCTTTGCTCAGTGCTAAATACCATTAAGGAACTCCTCCTTTGTACTACACCACAGTTCTCCCTGCAAGGCAGCCATCCACTGTCCCGCATGCCCACTGGATCACGTTCCTAAATTCCTGACTGATCCCAGGAGAGATGGTTTGCTGGTTTGCTTATGGGATAACATTGCTCAGGAGTAGAGAGGCACTTCTCCAGCAACAAGGAAGGAAACCATATCCAGCATGGGTGTTCTTGCCTTTCAATACAGGACATTTGGTTTTGATTGTGCTTTCCTTCTTCAACAGAGTTCAGAAGGGCGTGAAGCTACATGGGTAAGTTTGTGGCTGTGGAATCAGACAGCAAGGCAGGAAGCTAAGGGAAGCATCTGGAGAGCAGCAGGGTATGAACCAGGGCTGAACCTCTTTGAAAACTTAGGGAAGGATATCAGTGCCTGCCTACTAGGCAAATGGCATGACAGTCAGGCTAGAAGCCACATCTGGACTCTAGCCTGAACTTGGAGTGGAAGCTGCCTTGCCTATCCTTTCTCTAAATGCCTCCTGGTCCCTCTTCTCATCAGAATCTCTGTCCTTTGGCCTACCTGTAACCAGTGATTCCTCCTGCTCTTTCCCCAGTGCCCATCACCTTGGATGCAGCATGGAAACACCCCAAACTCACTGTTTCCCCGACCAGAGAACATTCCACCACGAGTGCCTAGGCCAGGAGCCAGCCATTGAGCACCAGCTCCCCATCGTGGTAGCGAGGGAGGGCTTTGCCTCCGGGCGGCAGTACTGGGAGGTGCAGTTGTGGGACGGGCTAGACTGGGAGGTGGGGGTGCTGACAGAGTCTGTGAGGGAGAGTCTGAAAGGGGGAAGCTGGCAGGACCTCCCTGAGGATGGTGTCTGGTCACTGAGGAGAGTAAAGGGGCAGTTTGGACCTGAAGAGGCCAAAACTGTGATAGAGGAGAGAAATGAAAAACCAGCAGTCATTGACGTAGACCTGGACCTTTCACAGAGCACACTCTCCTTTTATGACATTGCAGTTTCAGTCTCTATGCTAGAAATTCCCATTGAAAGGTCAACAAGGTTGTACCCATTCCTCAGGCCAGGCTTCGGTGGGGCAGGAGAGAAAGGGAAACCCCTCAGCATCAACCACAACACAGACTGGGATTTCCCACAGACATTTAAGAGTGAAATGAGATATGCAAAAGTCAGCTGAGCTGTAGTCGCCTGGGAGAAGGAGAAGGGAAAGTGCAAGAGCCAGAGCAGGACAGTGACTTATCTGTTGTCTCCAACCAAACCCTGGCTATTAAAGTCAGGCAAGCTTGAAGTGAGGGATTCAGGAGGACCTTGAGGTAGAACTGTGCATGACCTTTGCAGTGTGATGAACCCCCCTTGCCTCCTAAGAGGAGCCATCAGGAGCTATCAACCTGGACAAAGGGATTGCAATCACAGGCTCTGCAGCTACCCATCTCCCTATTTTCACTGTTCCCTGGTGTTTGTACTCCATTTCTCTCTTCATTAAATGCAAAGTGAAATAGAAAAAGACAGTTTGTCCTGTGGTGCTGGCAGCTCTAGTGCTGTGTGCACTTATTAAGGGGGAGCCAAATCCTGTTCCTGCTCAGATTGTGTTAGACGTCCACAAGAGCGAAGCTGCTTTTTCCCTGCAACACAATTGCAAGTGCCATTCCCCTAATCTGGAACAGAGTCCCAGCATCAGCAAGCATAATATGGACACTAGGGGCAATGCTGATTATAAGGCCAATCTGGAGGAGTCTCTTAGGGAGATCATTTGGATTTTTACGTGTCCCATGGCTCTCAACCACCCTTCCCACCTTGTGGCATACCATGTGAGGTACTAGAGACACATGGGGAGGAGTGAAAGACATCTTGGGTATTTCAGTTTTCACACTTCAGAGGGCACACAGGCATTAGGTCAAATCAGAGTCACACGTTGGGGAGGTTGGAGAGGGCTGGTGGACCTAACAGGCTGCTCTGGCTCTGAGTGAACATCCTGCTCTGTTTTCAGAGGTTTTTAAACAGCAAGTTTCCTTACTATTACTATTTGTTAAAGAACTAAGCCAGTCATCCTGGATGTCCTTAAATTGTTCCATAAATATTTTCAGTCCCAGATATAGAATCAGTTTCTGCAGCTGATCTCCCAGCTAGTCGTCCCTCTTGCTGAGAACAGACCTCAGAAAGTCTAGCCAAAGAGCAAATCCCAGCAGGAAGTGAGAAATAAATCACTGGCTGTTGGGTATAATAGCACGGTTGTATCTTTCTTTGTAACTGCTTCAGAGAGGTGCTTTGCGCTACTTTTTCTCGCAAGCTATAAAAGAAACATGGGAGGTTTTGAACAGCAGTTAGCTCTGACATAACAGTGACAGCAGACCTGCTCTGAATGCTGCTGGCTCTTCCTTGAGACAGGTCACAGGACTGTGGTCTCAGAACGTCTGGTGTGTGATAAGCAAGTGTCCTTACAGAGGAAGTCATATCACTGTGCAGATTAACCACAACTATGGGAGCTTGTGTTATTAGAAGGTTTGTATTTTTTTTTTCTTAGTGGGTTTCACAGCTTATTTTCTTATCTGTGTAACTTCTCCAAACTGTGAGAGTGGATAAGGTTCTCTGTGGAGGGGACGAGGAGGGTCCTGAACATCATGAGGGTGACAGACACCTCTGGTCATGATGGTAATTTCTTGTTCTGTTTCAAGTGCAAAGTCATTATGTTGCAGCTAACAATGACTGGAGTCATTCCTCTGTACCCAGCACACAGCCAATGACAGGAACATAATGGGAGGAGAGAGCAATCAAACAAAAAAAGTCTATCAAATAAACGTGGTCTAACCTGAAACGACAAAAGTTAAAATTCTTTATTCCTAACCCTGTTGTTATCTTCTGGGGAGATACTGAGCTCATGGTAAAGATATCAGGGATTGACTCACCTGCCCCCACACAGATCTCTAGTGACATTAGAGATACCATGAACTACCACCACAAGCATACTCAGGAGGCTACAGTTCTCCTCCATGTGGTGCCTGCCAGATCCTCTAGCTGATATCCGGTACTCTGGAGCCTCTGAAATAGCAGTAGGCATCTACAGTTAGGCAAAGGCATCCTGCCTTTTGCAAATGCAGTCACTGGAGTTTAGGATGCTGTTCAGCTTGATCAGCCAGTACATACCTACTTTAAGGGGCTGAATTGCTTTGGTAGCATTTTGGAGCAGCAGCTATAGGCCAGATGAGACGTCCCAGTGCACTCTAGTGCATCTCAGAGGACACATTTAGAGACCCAAATCAAGTACTTGTAAACTTGCTTTAGGGTGAACAGGACTGCTGCCCAGTCTCTTTGTCTTTTACAAGTCCAAGCTGTTAAACAGCAGACATGTTTGGAACTGATTTAATCTTTAACACAGATAAAATCAGTCCAAAATGCAGACATCCAATATGGAGCCTTAGCCCACATTAGTGATTAATGAATTTGACATTAAATGGAGGTAAGGAAAATATGGGAATGATGTTCAGATCTTTATAAACTAAGTAGCCAACCTAAGGGTGAAAGGACTCATCTATGCTGACACTGATATTCAGAAGAGCAAGAAAAGCTCTCACAGCTTCCTAAAGAATATGTTGTCTGCAGAGGTGGGTACTAAATCTGAAGGAGAGATTTGGTGACTGGTGTTAGGCACCTAGATTTGAGGCCTTCTTTTAATCCAGGTGGTTAGTAAATGACCATTTGCTATAGCAATTGACTTGCTCAGCTCAGATATTCTGGGAGTTGCCTAGCAGATTCCTGTGACCAAGCTACAAGAAAAGGCCATAATTAAAGGGAGTTTTGTCATTGCCTTCAGTACCATGGTTCTCCATTGTCTCTGTATTGAGCTGAATCTCTTGCCCTCCTTGAAATCTCCTCAGCATGACCTAGAACATGGTCTTAGAGGAGCCATAGCACATTTTTGAGGAAAAGTGTAATTTCATTGGAACATGAAATTTCTTAGAAAGAGTGGCTTAAGCTCAAGAGATTCAGTAGCAAGCAGAGGCTAAGGCTTCCATGCACATAGGAATTTCTTGCTTTGTGGCTTTGCTGAATGTGCAAGCCAACCCTCCTTACATCAAACCAGATGTCTTCCATCAGCTCTAACTGACAGATGAATACCCCAAAACTTTATTGCTGTCATAGGTAGCCAGTTCAAGTGTGGTGGTATCTGTTGCCTCCCACCCCCTGTAAAGTGCATGCTTTATCCCAGTCTGCACAAATTTAAACCTCCAATCCTGTGAGCAACAGCACAGAATCACAGAATCACAGAATCACAGAATCGTTTAGGTTGGAAGGGACCTCTGGAGATCATCTAGTCCAACCTCCCTGCTCAAGCAGGGTCACCTAGAGCGTATTGCCCAGGATCACATCCAGATGGGTTTTGAATATCTCCAGGGAAGGAGACTCCACTACCTCTCTGGGCAACCTGTTCCAGTGCTCTGTCACCCTCACAGTCAAGAAGTTTTTTCTCAGGTTTAGGTGGAACTTCCTGTGGTTCAGTTTCTGCCCATTGCCTCTTGTCCTGTTGCTGGGCACCACGGAGAAGAGACTGGCACCATCCTCTCGACACTCCCCCTTCAGATACTTGTACACGTTGATGAGATCACTTCTCAATCTTCTCTTCTCCAGGCTGAACAGGCCCAGCTCTCGCAGTCTTTCTTCCTAGGAGAGATGCTCCAGTCCCCTCATCACCTTTGCAGCCCTCCACTCGACTCTCTCCACTACTATCAGGTCTCTCTTGTACTGGGGAGCCCAGAAGTGGACACAGTCCTCCAGGTGAGGCCTCCCCAGGGCTGAGGAGAGGGGCAGGATCACCTCCCTCCACCTACTGGCAACACTCTGCCTAATGCACCCCAGGAGACCACTGGCCTTCTTGGCCACAAGGGTGCATTG